TTTGGTTGCCAACAGGTCATATGTACCCAAAATTGCTCTCCCTTGCTTGGGCCAGGTAGGGATGTCATCTAAACATTAACAGCTGCCATAGACTCCACTCCTATTCCCGCCGAGCCCATTTGTGCCAGAGGAGAACTGGGCTCCACAGGGTTGCCACTGACTTGAGTTTTCACAACTAGGTCACTGAATCTTTCTGCCAAGGGGCCTCTGGGTGGACTCGAACCTCCACGCATTTGTACCCCTGGGCCTGCGAACTCCACAACACATGAGTCAACCAACTAGGAGGGCAGCTAGGGCACCAGAAGGTCATTGGGACTATGAGGCGACAATGACCAAGTGACACAGACAAGTACAATGTTTCCTGAGATTCTTCCACAAGCCCAGGACAAGGGCAAACCTCTCTGGGGAGACGCCATTGGTGTCTATGCCCCAGATCTGCCTGCGGGCCCCACAAGCTGACAATCACATCTGCGAACCAGGTTCCTCATGAATATAGCAGGGGCCTTAACCACAGTAATAGGGATTTGGGGGGGAGCAAGGTAGACCCTGCACCAAGTTTTCTAGCATAATCTTTAATTGTGTTGGCATGACCACCCTACCAGGAAGGAGAGAGGGCAGGGTTGGCCCTCCCTCCACAGACCCTGCAGTATGAGTACAACTCAGCACAAACAAACCCACCCTGGCCGGGACCCCAGGAAGTACAGGGGTTTCGCTTATTGCCCACACATGGAGGACAGGGTGATAATTAAGACCCTCTGTTTCTTTCTGTTCCTCCCCTGCTGGTAAATGGACTTTGATTGGAACCAGCAGTTGGGTGGGATAGCAGGAGGCAGAGACCAGCATTAATATAGTAAAACCCAAAATCCACCCAGGAATTGGGGGCTGGGGTCTTGAACCTCTTTGTGTGCCTCTCGGAGGTGTCGGCACTTGTGATGATCTCCACAGTCTTAAAGCCCAGCCTCTGCAAGGTTCGAGGCACAGGGAAGGAAAAGCGAAGCTAAGTCCATAATCCCCATATATTGCTGGGCGGCAGAGTGGCTCCATGCATCTTGGAACTGTCCAACCGGATCCCCAAAGCTTAGACAGAATACAGTCCAAGCAAGAACAGGGAGTTCCAGTGGGGCCCCCTGCTTCCCTCTCTGGTGAGCGGCAACAATCTCCAACGGCATCTTCCACACCACCCCCAACGCAGCCTGCTTCTCATCTGGAGAGCTCCCTGGAGAGGAAAGGCCTGTGTATCTTCCTCGGCTTTGTGGTTTCCGATGCTGGCTGCCTTGCCTCCAGTCCCTAGTGAAGGCCAGATGGGATTCTGGGGCGTATGGTGGCCAGCATAAGCCAAGGCCTTGGCGTGACTGAGGTCCAGGAAGACCCTGGTCCAGGAGGTCCCAGAAGGCTGCCACCAGAGTGGTCAGTCAGGTTCCTCCATGGCAAAACAGATCCCAAGGGTTTAGGTGTTTGTCCCTAAAGTACTGATGAGTCGGTTCCACCTCAGAGTGACCTAGGGTTTCTCAGGCTGTAAATCTTTGCGGGGGCAGAAAGCCTCAGGTTTCTCTCTTGGAGTGGCTGGTTGGCTTAAACCATCGATGACCTTGTGGTTGGCAGTGCTTATCCTACAGAGTCACTGTGCTCCTGTTCCTAGAATATGGCAATCTTTTTCATTCTGTTTATCAGGGAATTAAGAGGTCTGTCTTCCCAGAAACCGTGAAGGTGCCCAAGATGTCCAGCCAGACCACTAACCTACATTTACCTGGAAAGCCATCTAGAAGAGCCAATCACCGTCCTGGTAGAACCAGGTGAGGCCTCTCCCACTAACGGCCTACCAGCCACAGTTCCCCATCCGCTCAGTTCACCTTTCCATGGGGCCTCGTTGACAAATATCATAGCAGGCACCTTTCTCTGGGCGCATAAAAGGACGAGCCCTCTGTTCGGTCTCTGCAAAACCATACCAGTGCGACGCTGCCATCATTGCATTTAATACTAGCTAAGAGCTTTGATTTGAACTTCCACTATTTGTAGACATTGAACAAAGAAGCACTTATTTTTTCCTGACACCTCTGTTAAAATTACAGGATAATTGGGTGCTGCTGCAAATATTAACGCGTAATAACAAAACGCTACAAGAAAAACAATGATCCTGCTGAGCTGACGGAGAACTAGCTCTGGTTCCAGAAACCAGCAAACCATATGGCAAGAAGGGTTTTCATTTTAACAAACAGCCGCAGACAGAACAGACAGTAAAAGCAGGAATAAAATGCACCCAATCTAAGTTTAGCACGTCGTTTATTCGTTGTTAAGGACAAGATTAATTTCTTTTTGGGAAAGGAAGCTGAAATGGTTGAATTGAAGTTAAAATAAGCAAATAAAACACCAAAATATCAAGTCTAGTACAACAGGATTAGGATGCTCTGAAAGTGGGACATGCTCAGAGGATGAAAGTGCTAAAGAGGATAAAATGATGCACAAACAAGTGGTTCTGGTGCCTCACGTGTTTGCCAACTCGGTGAACTATGGCGTTTCCTAAGGAGCTGCGTGTTCTTTGTCTATTTCCTCCTCCCTGTTCACATTTGAGATCTCGGTCTAGACCAGAGTTCTCAACAAGTAAGCTACCTGGGTTGAAATCAACATGCTGTCCTGATTTGGGCAACAATCCAAGATGGCGCCTCTTGTGTTAACTGGTATTGACTAAAGGTAGAATGGAATGAGTGTCACAGAGCGGGGGTACAACTGGACTGACAATCTCCACGGAGCAGGTCCAGGAGCAGCTGCATAGCTACTGGGGCATGCAAGAACCCTGCCTGGTGTGGCCCAAATCAATGTTATTGTAGAGTCTGTGGGGCACTGCCAGCGTAGACAGGCACTCCTTCAACTCTTCCAAATGCTTGCACCCAGAACATAGCAGAGTTGTGCCCTCCCAACGCTCAGGAAGCACTTGTGACTAGGAACGGTGCTACAACTCCATTCTGACTCTGGGTGCCTTGTAAAGCAATGGCACGCCTCCCTCCCTCTCTCTCAGAACAAAACCGCTACTTAAAAGGGTCCTGGAGCACTTCCAAGTACTAGGGTGAGCCGAACGAAAATGCCATTATTCAACCATGTCCGATGTTTGTAAATGTCCACATCATCTTATACACTGCATTCCTAGTGGAAACCGATTTCCAACCCCGAAGTTGAGTGCCCAAAAATGTGCTAAAGAGGACATCTCTGTTTTTGGCGGTCCTATTGAAACTCTCGTATGATCTACAGGATAGGCCCCAACACCCTTATTTGAGAAAACGATCAGGTATCAGGCATCGCCAGAAGTCCTGGGACGTGGGGCCAGACGCCCATGAGGCTGGTAGCTGCCCCACTGGGACTAGCCTCAGACCAGCAACGACACCCACCTCATAATTCTGGGCAGGTTTCACTCAGAGTTCAGAAACAGAGATTCTTTTAAGCGAATGTGTGAGGGACAGAATTCTGAGAAGCAAACGGAACATGTGAGGTTGTGAGCTGTGACTCTTCACGTTCCATCCAAAGGTCATTCAACAAGCTTCTCACTAGGGGTGGGGGATGTTGGGCCTGCAGGTGCTGTAAGGCCCACAGAATCTGCCAAGTCAAATGCAGTTCCAGTCATCACGCTAGGGGCGAAATAATGAAATGTTTGGCCAGATAGAGCAGGCACATTTATAAGTTGATAATTTTGTATGGCCCGTGAATCACGGTATCAATTTTGGCAGAAAAAAGGTTCTCCGCCCCTGTTCTTAGACTCAAAGATCACTGAGGCGTGATTCCATGGGGTCAACCCACTTGGAGTCTCTTGCTGGGCAGGCCCTCATAAAAGCCTGGAGACGTTTCTGGTTGTCTACATAAAGTTAAAGAACAAGAGGTGTCTTGCTGATGATCATCCCTGGCGGATCCTTCCTCAGGCCTCAAACCGACTCAGCTGGTTAGATTCAGCCCAAGATTCAGTTTAGCCCATCATTCAGCAGACCCTACTAAGGACCACTGGACTACCCCCCTAACTCCTCAGGAACCGATGCCTTAGATGCCCTATGGTGAAGGCGGCCTTCCTCCAAACCCCTTGGGGCCCTTTCCTCAATCAACACTTCAGGGAACAGGCCTATGGGTTTGACAGAGAGGTCACTGAGCAAATTTGCTCACGGACTTTTTCTTCCTTAGAAATGGCAGTGTTAACTCAAGAAGAAAAGTAATTTCTAAGTAGAATAAAAATCAATCCCATCGGGAACGCTGCCATTTTGAAACTTCGGGGAGGAAAGAGACTGCTTTGGTCAAGCACTACAACTGGCAGGTGGAAATGAAATTGAGGACTTCAAAATCCTGCTGCAGGTAAGGAGTAAGCCATCAACAGTTTCTCAAACATACTCTAAATGTGTGTCGAATGAATACAGCACTCGCCTCAGCATATACATCACTCCCAATAAACGCCATTTGTACGATGCAGGGAACAATTCTCATTTAAAGAATATGCGAATCTTTTTGAAATCTTAGAGGTTAGTAATTCTAAAAACCTAAGCTAATGATGCTGTGTCTGACTCAGCCAGCCACTTCGTTCCCAAAGGTTTCCACCTGACATGCACTCACACTTGGAAAGGATATGGTTCTAGTGTGGCATATGATTATGTCTCTAATTCATTTTTATTCTTTTTAATTAATATGTTGAGACGTCATAATACCACTTTCCATTCTGACTTGAATTTCCCATTAGCTATCACTTCCGCGGACTTTGTTTCTATAGCGGCAGCAGAAAAAGAGGGGGGGAAAAATCACTTACGCTGAACTATATTGCTTCTGAGTTAATTACATGTATTTTGCTTTTGATAAATGAAAATACCAGATGCAAGTAATTGAAAGACAATCAATATGATCCTGCTATTAGACATCCCAATGAAACATCCAGAGGCTGCGGACAACCCACAGCCATCAACTAATTGAAAATACATTCCAAAGGGGGCTTTCGAAGACCCAACTTTTACCTGGAGGTATTTTATGAAAAAACTCACCGAGATAAATCTGTCTGCAAACTCTACAGTTCACACGATGGGTTGACCGTCTTCGTAAGGGAATACAGCCTCATTGGTTCAAAACCATTTAAGGCGTTGAAACACTGAAAGAAAAATTAATTGGGTCCATGAAACAGCAGTAGTGATTTTTTTTGTTGTTGTTGTTTACATCTAGCCAGCCTTTAATTGCATTTTTCCAATACCTTCGATTCTCAGCTACGAGAGGCTATTAAATGGTTTCATTAAAAATACTATTTGTCTTGCTTTAGTCACACACTAGATCAGATTAAACAGAAAGAGCACTAGACCAAATGAACCCTTCCCATCTATTTTGACATGAAGCCAAGTGTGCAAAACCGGAAGGTGAGATTGTGGCATCACTGCGAAAATGGCATTTAGCTTTCTTTACATCCCCAAGTAGCAAGCCCAAGGACAAACCCATCAATACCTACAAGCGAAAAGTCTTAGCAAGTGTTTGGAGGAATATGAAATAATAAAGTGCAATTCATAACCCTATGGTTTATAAGTTCCATTAGCATAAATGCTGACAACTGTTAATCTACTGGCGCTCTGATGAACGGTTGCCATTGTCCATTAATAGAAGGCGTTTTTAACTTACTACTGAAATTGATTACTCAGTTAAGAATTCAATCCTAACGTTCAATAAAACTGCACTTTCTTGGCAAATGCAATATGAAACGAGGCAATGCATTAGGCAGCAGACACGCTGTATGCTATGTGGGGCAAGAAGGAAATATTCCGTGTCATCAGTGGCTCGAACCACTTCCTACACACAGAGAACTGCACAAGGGACAGACAGGGAAGTTGACCCTTGGGGGCAGGGCAGAAATGGCTGATGCCTAGGCAGTGTGCACACCCAGGCATCTTTTCTGTGGCTTTTCCTTGATGAGCAGGCAGATCCCCAACTCTGATATTGCTATGTTAACTGGAGTGTCCTGGTTTTAAGGTAGAATTTCTTGAGCCCCACCAGTAAAGAGAGGGGTAGGCATAATAGAGGAGTTGCTTCAGATGACCCAACCTGTTCCAGCCCATCACAGCCTCAGGATTCAAATGGTAGATTAACAGAAGCAAAGCATGGAATGACTAACCAGCTTCCCAGTGGCCTTTGGAAACAATGGGGGGGGGGGTCACCTCTTGGCATCTGGTCCCTGAGACACCTTCCTGCCTAGTTAAGATGCAAATCACTAAGAGGAGTCACTGGGTCTACAGACCCTCCCATTCTCCATTCAGAGGAAAACGCCTGCCTATAACTACATGGATGATGCAGGTTGATTCTGAAAAACCACTGGGTCGGGGGAGGTAGCCGTGCAGCCAAGGTTGGGTCTTATGTGCCAAAGGTCAACCATGCCAGAAAGTAAGTTGCTCCCAATTGTATGTGTGTACAGGATCCAGGCAGGAAGAGATGCAGGGGATGGGCATGCAGACCACCAGCACCTGCAACACTAGCAGGTATGGGCAGATGGAGTGTCAGTGGTCCCAATCCTCTAGTGACATATTTACTGACCATCAAAGACAGCGAGAAACCGACTCGACTCCATGACGTGGTGGGAGCTTGCTCTGCAAACTCCTATCCACACTTCAAAGCCCATCTCCTGGGTATCTTCTGAAACAACCTTCTTACTGACTGCCAGGCCACTGTGTGCCCTCACCATCTTCAGGTTTCTAAACACTAAGGGCCTTGATCACATGTCTACAATGGAAGAGGAAACTAAACCCTGTAAACCACGGAACATACATTCCTTGGCTAGTGCTCTTTTCCCTGCTAGACTTAAGGACTTCCTATTTCTTTCCATCACTAGGGCTGAGCACAGTAGACAATCAAATGAACATATAAACAAAGAACTCCCTCCCTGGAAAAAAAAAAAAAAAAAAAAAGGAAATGGGTCAGGAAAGGATATGTACCAACTTCCTTTTGGAAAAGAGAAAATTTAAAAGAGCAGAGTCATCATGCTACCATCTACTGATCTCGGGGCACAGATTCAAACATCCTCTGGGCCATCTTTGAACTACTTCTCAGTTACAAAACGTGACCAACGAGGGTACAGAGACGGAGGCACCACAGAGATGACACTTCATCAAACTATAAGTGGGAAATTCAGAGGTACCTGCAGCCCGGCGAGCAAGCAGTGACAGCTTTAGTTAGTGGATTAAGAACATTCAAAGGCTTGGAAAACTGTCAGAGTCTTTAAAGCAAATGCCCATTGTTACTGGAAGGGCGAGAGAACTTAAGACTGGAGCGGTAGCAAAGCAGAACACTTGTGACAGATGCACGGCGTGCCGTGCCCTGCAGGTTCGCCAGGGGAGAGTTTCCTGGCAGGGTTTGACTCGGAACTTCCACAAGCACACAACAAGATGCAGGTATAACTTAGCTGATTAAAATCACAGCACCCACGGGGGTTCAGCATTCAGGCTGCACCTTGGCACGTAATGCCAGCCAGCCAGCAAGCTCCCTGTCCAGTTGTCAGCTCGGCTCCAACGGCCAGAGGACTTCCTCCAGGTCTGCAGCACCCCCACTGCAGTGAGTGTTCGCACATGCCTGCACACATGTGACATAAACACGCATCTCAGGAAAGGCCAGGTAGTACCCAGAGCCCCAGGGAGTTGCAACCACTCATCACAGGGGGTTGTTTTCCACACCTTGTCAGCTACTGTCATGTTGGCTGGACTCATGGCGACCCCACGCACAACGGAAACAAATGGGGTCCGGTCCTGTGCCACCCTCATGATTGGTTGCAGGTCAGACCACTGTGATCCATAGTTCTCACTGGCTGATACCCACAAGTCGATCACCAGGCTCCTCTTCCTAGTCCCTTGGACTCTGGAAGCAATACTGAAGCCTGTTTAATACCATAACATGCAGGCCTCCATCACAGATGGGCAGTGGCCAATCAAACCTGGGTCTCCCACGTGGTGGTGGTGGCGGTTAAATACGGTGGTGTCAGTTCTAAGCTACAGCACCCCTGTATAGGGTTTCTGAGGAACGGTTGGTGAGCCTGAACCACCAACCTTGCGGTTCAAACTGACCTTGCAGTCCAGCTCATTAACCCACAGCACTATACCAGGACTCCCACATGGCAAGTGGAAATTTCTACTACTAACCCACTTGCTTAAGAAAGATCCAGAATTCTGCACCGCATCTCCAACTACAGCGAGGGACATGCAGAGACATCAAGTCAGTTCTGACTCACCACCATGCTGTATAGGGTTTCAAAGGAGCAGCTTGTGGGTTTGAACTGCTGACTTTGTGGTTAACAGTCCAGTGTTTATCCCACAGTGACACATTAGGACTCTGAAGGGTTATGGTGGTGGTGGTTGTGTGCCATCAATTCTGCAAATCTTTAACAGAAGCAGAAAGCCTCATTTTTCTCCTATAGAGCAGCTAGTAGAAAGAGCGGGAGCAGAAAACAGTATCTTTCTCCTGTGGACCTGCTGACCTTGAGGTTAGCAGCCCAACTCGTACCCACTATGCTACTAGAGCTCCTTGTTATGGGCTGTGGAGTCGGTTCTGACTCATAGCGACCCTGTACAGGGTTTCCGAGGCTGTAAATCTTTAAGGGAGCAGAAAGCCTCATCTTTCTCCCGTGGAACAGCTGGGAGTTTCAAACTGCCGACCCTGATTCGTAAGCACCACGCTACCAGAGCTCCTTAGCAGAGTAAAAATGGAGGGTCCACAGTAGTGAACCCCAACCAAGTGCCTTACCAGCCCCCACTGACACCCTCCAGCTGTTAGGAAGAACACTTGCAGACCATGGTGTGTTTTCCGTATGCTGGTGTGGGAGAGTGTATGTATGGTGTGTGCATTGTGTTATCTGTGCCCGTGGTGTGTTTTTTTTAGTGTGTGGTATGTGTATGGTGTGACTGTGTGTGGGGAGTGGTGGTAGATATGTGATGTGTTGGCGTGTGTATATTGTGTGTCTCTGTGCACATGTCTAGACTCAGTAACTCGTCCCCAAATACTGGATTGTCAGGCAGGAAGCAGGTGTTCCTCTGGTTTGTTCTCCAAAGACAACCAAGAAAACCACAATGTCCGCCGGTGAACAGACGTGCATCTCACATGGGAGCAGACTGAACATGGCATATCTGAAATACCGTCACCCTAGGAATCCTGGTGTGGAGCTGTGGGTTAATGTGCCAGCAAAGCCATTTGAACTGCAAGGTCGGCGGTTCAAGCTCACCAGCTGCTCCTCGGAAACCCTATACAGAGTCGCTGGTAGCGTAGTGGTTACGAATCGGGCTGCGAACCTTAAGGTCAGCGGTTCGAAACTACCAGCCGCTCTGCGGGAGAAAGATGAGGCTTTCTACTCCCGTAAAGATTTACACCCTCGGAAACCCTGTACAGGGTAGCTATGGGTCGGAACCGACTCGATGGCACTTAACAACAACAACAACAATCACCCAGAACTCCAGTGCCTAAGAAGCGAACCCTGCTAGTTAGTGTTGAAGCAACTCTTTATTGTTGTTAAGTGCCTTCAAGTCCGGAAAAAAACCAGCAACCAGAAAGAGAATTCTGACCATGTTCCTATGCAGCGCCCCACCCTGTTTCCAGTGAGATGAAATCAACATTTCTAATACTTGTTTATAGTCTCCCATGTCCTAGAGTTTCAAAAGGGGGGGTGGGGGGTGGGGGGTGAGACCTGCCCTCAAGGTAGGAATTTTACATATAGTTTCTGTTGAGTGAATGTTTATGGAAAAATTATAATATTAAATATGTTCTGCTGGTTTTAATTTTTAAGAATGTAAAAAGGCCTCACTGCCAAGAGTTGGGAACTCTTGTGTTCACATTATCAGGACAGCCAGAGGAAAACTAGAGAAGACTTGGAGCTCAGCCACTTTTTAAAGGAAAATAAAATAGGACCGTTTCCCAGTGTTGTCTCAGACGTAGCCAATTTTGTCCATTCCTTCACTCCATCTCTTGCCTTTTTACTTTTACGCTGCGGGCAGGGAGGCGGAGCAACTCCACCCTGGAATCACAAGCTGGCTTCCCTCCTCCACCTCCGTGGGCTCCACACCCAAGAAACTGGCAGGGTGAGTGTGTGCCAGCTGGGAGACTTGGCAACCACCAGAAATACATACATGAACAGCG